GCTTTGAACCTCAATCCTCAGATCTCAGCCTCCCGAGTAGCTAGGATTACAGGCGTGAGCCACCGGTGCCCGGCATCTTTTTCAGATTTTACAGGACAACTTCCCCAAGTGTTCTTATGCCTAAAGCAGCTGTAGCCTTAAGAGTTGTTAAAGGTACAATTAGTGACATCCAACTTGTACTCATAGATTATTCCCAATCCATTGTTTTATATACTTCAAATCCTAGTAAATTCCCTATTGCTATCCTTTGGCAGGATGCTCCTATTAAATGGCTATTTTTGGCCTTGCATTAACCCTTTAATTGCTTTAATTTCTTCACATTTCTAAGGGATGCAAGCATTGTATTCAATTGACTGGGCATGAGCCTGATGCCTTGGGCCTGTGCATGACTAGGACTGAGTTTGATAGCTTGTTACAGACCTCCTTGAAATGGCAATTTTCCTGGGCAGGTACTTTTTCACTTGCCTGCATCACCGTTACATTTTTCTAATGATGATTATATTACTGCCTGCTCCTTTATTTATTCTAAGCCTATTGCAAATGCTCCCAATGTGTTTATTGATGGGTCTAAGACTGGAAAGGTGGGGCTCATGTTGCAATTCCCACTTCAACACAAAGGGTGGAGCTGTTTGCTGCCACTTTGGCTTTACAATAGTATCCTTTTGTCATAAACTTGTACTCAGATAGCCAGTATGTTGTTTCTGTTTTACACCACATTCAGGATGCCATTATTCTCACTCAAATGAGGAACTGTTACATCTTTTTACTACCCTCCAGCAGCAACTGTTACAGCGCACACCTCCTATATTTATTTGCCATAGTCGTGTTCATTCTCTTTTACCTGGATCTTTAACAAATGGCACTGCCCTTGTTGATGAGTTAACTTGGCTCGTTAGGCTTATTCAATCTCTTGTTGAGGCTGCACTTGATGCCCATCAAAAATTTCATCAAAATGCAGCTGCCCTTCATAGGCAGTTTAGAGTAACTCACAAACAAGCCTGTGCAATAGTTTGCCAATGTGCCCGTTGTCCATTTGCTCATGCTGGTCCTACCGTTGGGGTTAGCCCACCGAGTCTTCTACCTGGGCAGCTATGGAAAATGGATGTGACTCATGTTCCCTCTTTTGTCCACTTGTCTTACGCTCATGTTTCTGTGGATACTTACTCTGGATTGCTTTTTGCCTCCTGTCACACAGGAGAGATGTTGCTGCCCATTTATTTGCAAATAAATCCTACAAATCCTTTATGGATTTGCCCCAACAAATTCAGACTGATCATGGTCCTGCTTATATTTCTCAAGCCTTTAAAACATTGTGCTCACAACTACATATTACTCTTACTATGAGTATCCCCTACAATCCACAAGGACAGGGCATTGTGGAACCATCCCATGCTTACTTTAAAAAATCAAATTCAAAAAATAAAAAAAGGGGGAATTAGCTACCTGGAAAATTCCACCGCACACCATTATATCTTAATTCATTGTTGTTTTAGATTTTTTAAAATGTCTCAGAGGATGGCTTCATTGCTGTGTAGCGCCGTTGGAGGAGAGCTGCCATGCCCACAGGCATGGTGGGATGGAAGGATCCTTTGACAGGACTCTGGAATGGTCCCGATTCCCTCTTTCGATGGGGTCGAGGGTATTCTTGTGTTTTCCCACAGGATGCGAAGTGCCGAGGTGGATTCCAGGCCTGCTCGTTTGCCATGCTGAGATCACATCGGTCACTCTAGAGAATGAGCTTGAGAGAGCATGTGCCTTGGACCCACAGCCGGAGGCCCCATTGCCCACATGGATACAAATTCAGGCCCTGACCTCCAGGGGCCAAAAAAGAGTTGAAGGGGCAGGAAGGGATCTCACACCTGAAACCCTATTTGTGGCTATGCTAGCATTAATACCCTTGCCCAAGTTTCCGCTGAGGTACACTGGGCCTACTTGCCTGACCGCCCTATTGCCTGCCCAGTGTCATGGGAGGAGCCATCCATGAAAGTGTATAGTAATGCAACAGGGCTCTTTGGGGAAGAGAAGGCTGGATTTCTGGAGCCATATTCTAGGCAGGTAGAACGGACTGGGCTGTCTTTTAGCCGGCCTGTTTGCATATCCACGGACAGCATACATGAATGTGTTAAGTGTGGTAAAACGTACACGTGTAGTAAGGTATTCAGGGATAGATTATGGCTCAAAGTTGCTCTGAGAGAAAAAGATGTATAGATGGAAAAAGATGGAGCTTTGGCAGATGGTGTGAGCCCCACATGGATTCCACTATGCCAGGAGGTTCCTGTAGCCACGATGATCAGCCACCATGGAGGGCCTATGGATTTGACATCTTGCCTACTGTTCCAGTGGTGAGTTCCCCACTATGAATTGCAGGACTGGTCTCAGAGGAGTGACGTGATCAATGGTGTTCTGCCAGCTACCATCTTGGTCAGCCCATGTGGACAAGCTCATCCTGACATCTGGAGACTGCTGCTGCCTTAAGGCCCACTTGGACTAATGCCTCTTACCTTCCGTACCGCTGTCCCAGAGACCTATCCCGCTCCGTGGTTTTGTATCATTTGCTGTGCAAGCTTGTGTTATGCATGCATACATGTCTGTGATTGGTGCAGGGTGTGGTTGTTAAGCATGGGGAGTCATTTCACACCTCCTGCAGGAATACTTGTGTTCTAACTAACTGCAGAAGTAATCCTGGACATTTTGGACCTTGTACAGTATTTGTTACGATGAACCCCTTTATCTTGCCTGTTAAGTTGATGGAACCATGGCATAGTGATTTTGGGCTTCAGTTTGTTATTGAGGTTCAAAAGGCTCTTAGCTGCTCTCACAGATTTTTGGGAATATTGGTTGCAGCATTATTGCTACCATAACTCTTATTGCCAGTGCTACTGCTTCTACCATGGCCCTTACCCAAATCATACATACAGCACAACATGTTAATAATTTGGCTCAAAATGTTTCTAGTGTCCTTGGGACCAAAGTGTGAATGGATAAAAAGATTGTGGAATGTCCAAATGCTTTGGAAACAGCCATGATGTATGTTACTAACCAGGTAGACTCCTAAAGACTGAGTTAAAAATGACATGTCATGCTAATTATCAGTCCATTTGTATTACCCCTTCTTAAATATGATGGAAATGTGACAGACAAATATCCAGAGTCATATCCAAGGAATCTGGTTCCATGATAATTTGAGCTTTGATATTCTGCAGTTTCAGGGGCAGATATTTGATGTTGGCTACTCCACCCTAAAGGTAGCAGACCCTGAAGACTTGGCTGCATCAGATCTTCCTTCCCTGCAGGGATTCAACCTAGGAAATTTGTTGCAGTACTCCTTTTGGTATTTCTTGGGCATTTTGCTGTTATGATGGTCCTTTCTCTGCCTTTCTTCCTGGGCTCTTTTGCCCAGGTCCGGGCTGATAGATACTTGCTCAATATAAAAAATTAAAAAGGGAGAGATGTTGCAGACCCCGAGGTGCCAGGAGCTGGCAACGTGTGAGCCAAGGCTCCTGGCCACTGACGCCAACCTTCTGGGGTGCAAGTGTTTGCCTTTTTATTTGAGAGAGTGTTTTTCTGAGCTTTGGGCCCAGGGGCTTATCTGGGGGAGTATAGTAGACAAGGATTATTTGAAATAGAATTAGGAAGGATGCATACTGTCTGCACTTGATGGTGTGGTGGGTCCTGAAACAATGTGGTGCAAGGCTTGGACAAATATGGAAAGTGTATATAGCTGAGGCTTTTGCTGGAATAAACAGAGTTGGGCCTTCAGCCTTCTCTCCGCCTCCTTCATCCATCCCTTTTCCCCTTGGGAGACCCTGTGCATGCTGCGGCTGGACGTGGCATGGCTCAAGAGGCTCTGGGCTGACAGTGCCCCAACAGAACGGATTGTCTCATCTTCACCAATCTATCCCATGGAAGTTTCCAGAATACGTACCACCAAAGTGTCCATATATTTAAAAAAAAATAACATTCAGGGCTGGGAAGGTGGCTCAGTGGTAGAGCACTTGCCTTGCATGCTCAAGGCCCTGAGTTCGATTCCTCAGCACCACATAAGCAAAAAGAAAAAAGCCGGAAGTGGCGCCGTGGCTCAAGTAGCAGAACGCTAGCTTTGAGCTGAAGAGCTGAGGGACAGCACCCAGGCCCAGAGTTCAGGCCCCACAACCAGACCCCCCCCAAAAAATAAGATTCAGCATCAAAAACTGCAATGCCCTGGGAAGAGAAATAAACGTAGATATTACATATTTAAGACCTCATCCAAGTACGTTCTCCTGATCAAGTTCTAGAACAAGTTTGTATATGTAGTATGTCACTTTGAAACAGCTTTCATAGGAGCATTTTTTAAAATTATTATTTGTGGGGGAGGGAACCTGAGCTAGCTTCAAACTGCAATTCCCAGGTCATTTGTCGTCTAGTAGTTAGGCTTCTTTCTTGTTTACTAAATGAAGTGCGTGGAGTTGCGATGTTCAAGTCACCTCTTTGGGCATTAAAAAAAAAAATAAAGCTTCAGCAGAAGTCAGAGTGCAAGTGAAGGCAAAGTGAACTTGCCCAATATGAGATGATAAGAGCGATACCACCTCTACCCATAGGACACCACAAATTAAATACTTCCTCTGGGATTTTACTTCTGAAGGTTAAAAAAAAAAAAGTAAAAGAACAAAGAAAGAAATCTTCCTTGTGGGAATTCTCAATTGTGGTATGTGAACTGTGTAAATAAAAGTCCCTAGAGCTATTAGTGACCCTTCCTGAAATTGGCTTTGTTAGGGAAAAAAAATCTTTGTTGCTCACAAAGTCTATCAAGTTCTCATTGTGAATGCCAAGATGCTGAATATCTGTGTGGATCCGCTGATGCCCAGTGGATAGTATGGACAGCTGGACACAGCCCTGCAGTATACCTGCCATTCTCTAGGGGGAGCACACACACAGCTTCTAAAAGCACTTCTCTTCCACCATAGAAGGAAGCCGGTGTTTGCAACCAGAAAAGCCAACTGTAGAGCTCAAGCAACACTCACCTTACAATAACACAGAATGGTTCCAAAAAAGGGCAGAGGTTTTGGACCAGGAATTCTCAACTTCTTAAAAACTCTATGTGGATAGGTCCCATATCTATAAATAAATAAATAAATAAAGATATATATATATATATATGTATATATAATTTTTTGGGGGGGGTCTGGTCATGGGGCCTGAACTCTGGGCCCGGGCGCTGTCCCTCAGCTCTTCAGCTCAAGGCTAGCGCTCTACCACTTGAGCCACAGCGCTACTTCCGGCTTTTTTCTTTTTGCTTATGTGGTGCTGAGGAATTGAACCCAGGGCCTCAGGCATGCAAGGCAAGCGCTCTACCACTGAGCCACCTTCCCAGCCCCTGTATAAATATTTTTAAAAATTAGATAATAGAGATACATACACACATACATGCACATACATCCTGTATTCATATGGAGGCTTGCCAGTTACTAACTCAAGAAGTAAGACAGTAAAACTTATGGTAACATGTAGGCAACGATAACACCAGAAACTCAAATGGCAATGATTTTCCTTGCTCTTCAGTTCCTTTCTTACAGCTTCTGAGAGAACTCCAAAAGTCACAAAAATGAGCTAAAAGTAGCTGGAGTCTTTAGGCTCCCCAACCTACAGTGGATAATTGGTAAAGTCAACAACCTTGTTTTGAGTGATCTTGTGAGAGTCAAACTAGAAATTTCCAAGTCATTTGATGTGGACAGCCAGGATTCGTAAGTGTGTCTTGGAGCTCTGACCTTAAAGGAGAGAAATATTCATTGCATCCTCCTAACTCCTACTTGGATGTTGCTGATGTCATTATTGGGTCACCTTCTTCCTACTCACCTCCACAGAAAGTCTAAGATAACCTGCTGGAGAGGAATATCAATATGCAAGGGAGATTCTTGCTTATACACCCTTAGTACAGCTCTATTGACAACGGCCATGCTGTAGAATCAGCCAAGTGCACAATAACCAATGAACAGATAATCATGTGCATAAGCATTATGGACTATAACTGTGATAAGTGGAAACCATGCCGTTTGTAGGAAAGTAGAACTGGAAAGCATCCTATTGAGTGAGATATGGCAAATTCACTTATCAGTGGAATGATCCTGAGCCCGATGATGATGAAAGTGATGGTGGTGGTGGTGGCGATTACCATGATGATAATGAGGATGATGGCGATAATTATAGCACATAAAATAAAGGAAGGTTGTATGGGGGGATTTGTGGAATGGGGAGGGAAGAAAGGAAAAGATACTGAGGAGTGAAGAGTTTGCAAGATGTGTTACACATGCTAGATTGTGTGTGTGTGTGCGTGTGCACGCACACATGCATAAAGATAGCACATGAATGCAGTAAACACTTTGAAAAGATAGAGGGAGAGAGGAGAAGAGGGAGGCTAGGATGGGGAAGTGAATGTGTTCAAAGTTTATTGCACCTATGTATGATGTTATCATAATACAATCCCTGTATTACTAATGTGTACTCATTCAAAAGTAAAAGTAATTTAAATGACCAATGAATTAAAACAATGCGCTCATCAAAATAGCTTAAAAATATGTATGTATCCAGGTACCTGGTGGCTCCTGTCTGTAATCCTACCTACTTAAGAGGCTGAGATCTGAGGATTGTGGCTTGAAGCCACTCTGGGCAGGAAAGGTTGTAAGATTTTTTTTTTTTTTTTTGAGGATGTAGGGCTTGACCTTGGGGCCTGACACTGTCCGTGAGCTCTTTCTGCTCAAGGTTGAGGCTTTCCTACGTTGAGCCACAATGCCTCTACCAATTTTATGGTGGTAAATTGGAGATAAGTCTTATGGCCTTTTCTGTCCAGGCTGTCTTTGAACCATGATTCTCAAATCTCAGCCTCCTGAGTAGCTTGGATTACAAGCATGAGTCACCAGCACCTGACAATGAGACTCCTCTCCAATTAACCACCAAAACATCCAGAAGTGGAGCTCTGAGTCAGGTGGTAGAGTGCTAGCCTTAAGGACAAATGCTCAGGGACAGTGCCCAGGACCTGAGTTCAAGCCCCAGGTACAAGATCAAAATAAACAAATGAACATACAAACAATAAAGACCTTTCACCCGAGGTATCCTGAGATTACTCCAAGGGTCATCTGTTGTCATATTCTGCTTCTGTTGAATTTGAGGCATCAATTTAGGCTTCAGTAGAACTCAAAGATCATTTCCAAACAATGCCACTAGCCCCACTCCCCACACAGAAATTGAGAGTTCCATGAAAGAGGAATATTTATTAACCCTCCCATTGGATCTCGATGGGGTAAATAATTCTGCAGGTGTAGGTTAAATCTGACTTTTGAGCAATTGTCTCATTCATTTTTCTTTTCAGATCTTCCCAATCTATAGACCATAATAATCCTCATCTTGAATCCTAGGTGACAGGGAGGAGGGCATCAGAGTCTAGATAGTTACTCACAAATAGAGACGCACCAGGCTGGTAGCCAGGAGGACCCAGGTTTCTAGGGAAAAGTTTGGGATCAAGTCCATGGTCACTCTCATCTGGTAATTCTCTCCTCTGACTCTTCCTTTCAGCTCTGGGTTGTGCTGGCTACAGAGTGGACTCTGCTGAGCTCCCCTCAGTGCCCAGCTCTGATGAGGGAGCTGAGGCTCCTGCCAGTTTATGGGCTGGGAGAGGAGGCAGGGCTGATGGCACAGACAGTAGAAAACTTACCTGTGCCCACACACCCCACAGGTGTGTGAGGCAGATGTCTTGCCCCACTTTTGGAAGTGGACAAGAAATTGTGGATGTGCACAGTTTGAACTTTGAATTCACATCTGATAAATGCATCCAAAAATAAATGCAGGCACTGTTTTCCTTAGGGCCACAGATTATGGATTGCCTCACCAGAAGTCCAGTGCAGCCATTGTTTCCTCTAAGGTCTTATCTCCAACGGGACTCTTAGTCCAAAAAACAGGTGTTTATGGTTACAGTTTCTTCTGCTCACTCTGTTTGCTCTTTGAAGAATGGGTATTTCTCCATGGCTTGAGAGCAAGCCCCAGGAGCTGGGGTTAGAAGCGTGGCTCAGGGGATAGTCTACCTGCCAACAAACAAAAGTGTCAGATACTGAAGTAGGCCCTGAGAGGAGACTTGAGCTGGTACAGCTTCTTTCCAGGCTTTGCCTTTGTTTTAGGGATTTTAGGAAAAAAACCCTTTAAACAAAGTTAACTAGACCTGGGCTCCAACCAGCCCAGTTTCTGGAATGGAAAGAATGTCTCTAAGTCCCCCTCCCCTTAACAACCTAACTCACCTTGATTGTTGAGTTAAGGAAGGACCCATAAAACAGATAGGTTGTAACCTGGCTCCAACTGGCGACACCATGCGCTTATGGTAAACCCTGCCTTTCGTACATGCTTACAGTAAACTCCGCCTATTGGCCACCTGTGTGTGGTCTGGTATGACATACAATCCTTTTGTGTGGTACGATCCCATTGGTCACCTGCACTTGACCAGGCTTGACCTCATGGATTTTGCCTTTAAAAACCAAAGAATGGGGGCCGCTCTGGGTCTCAGTGTCATCTCCCAAGCCTGTGCTGCGGCCCTGGCCAGTCAGTGTAGGAACCTTCTCAATAAAGTTGCTTCTTTATTAACAACTTTGTTGTGGTGGGCTCTGTCACTCTGGACGACTAGGTGGGCTTGCCTGCCTGAGTAGGGGGTCTTCCTACTGCAATACTAATATAGAGTCTTGATTGTGGGGGGTTGGGGGGAAGGAATAGGATGGAAAGAGCAGTCGTTACTTGTGAATCCTTCCTGTTCCCTGGTTTTCCGACAGGAGAGATGTTACAAGTAGTAGTGTATGAAGTATAGTGGCTCATGACCTTAATTGTGATCCATAATCTATGTGTTCTATGTGTTCTTATTCTGAGAAATGAAGAACTGAGTGACAGATAGACGTCAAAGTTTCTAAAACAAAAAAGAAATAGAAATCTTACTTTTCATCTGGGATATATATATATATATATATATATATATATATATATATGTTCCTTGCTTCTCTTCCTTGTCTGTCTTTAGGTAGAAACTGTTACTGGCCCTTTGG